CTCTTTCCAAGTCCAAATGTTAAAAGGTCTAGTTAAATTTATGATAGACTACAGTGTTTCCAAAAGCTAAAATTGGTAATAATTCTGCTTAAATTCCATATTAATCTAATATCAAAAGTTATTTTTATTCCTTTTTTCAAATACCTGAAATACACTGCTGCTTAGTCTTTTCATTATATATTTAGTTAGCTAACTTTGGGTGCAAGGTACTTTAAATATAAAAGTCCTTTCCAATGGATAGTGAAAATAATATAAAAATGTTTGTATAAAATACACTCAGTGATTCTCAAAGGATATCTGAGAGCCTATTAGGTCTATTAACTTGGTTCAAAATACCCAACAACAAATGTGAGGTTTTGTCACACTGACATATTTTAACAGTTAACTGGTATCTACATTTTAAACACATTATGTCTAATGTAGCAATAATAATGACTATTTTTCCACTAAAAAGCTACAGGATTTTGGTTTAAGGGCAAATGAGAAAGAGTACGTGGCTCACCAAGAAGGCTGTCTAAGTGGAAAAGATCAGCAGCCTGAAATTTGTAAATAGTAACAAGACAAACTCCAGTGCTAGGTCGTTCATGTAATCACCAATATGTAGGTCAAAATAAACTAGTGAGCTATACATTACTGTCTACCTAGTAATTTACAGATCAATATGAAAGGAAGAAACTGCTCAAACGTGACTACTGTTAACAAACTCAAAATATTAGGCATAGTATGTCTCTATTAAAATTATAACTTATCAATTGTGAAATAATTTCCTTCACTATTTCTACTTTTAAAAAATGAACCCTCCTCAATTAAAAAAAAAAGAGCAGCCACCTTTAAGATGTAAATTCCTCTTTTTTTCAAAGTAACTTACCCAGAAAAATCTAATGCAGAAAATAAAGTGTAACAGATAAATCGACTACAACATTTTAAAAAACCTAAAAGTATCAGTAAAACAAACCAATCCCTCCAGTTTAGCAATGCGTGTATTTTCGGTGGGTATACCATTATAATAACCAACAACGTCCAAAAGGCACCCTAATGCCCCAAACATCATCATTACACATGACATACTCGTATTTTACTCAAATTATGCTTAGACCAGATCCAAACTCAGGCCATTCCCCCCTCGCGGGCACACTGAAATATACGAGGGGGAATCCAAGAAATCAGATATGTTAAGTGCAGGTATCTCCTTCCAGAGTAGGGTCAAATTCTTGTTTGCCCGCAAATGTCACTGTCTCAAGAAGTCTGCAAATCCTCATTAGCGCTACAGAGTACAAAGAGGCCTGACCACGGAAACACCTGTCCTAGCACCGGGAAGACAGTGGGAAATGCAAACCCCGAGCCCACGCCGGCCGTACAGCCTTGGGCAGCAGCAGCGACCCCTGACGAGGGGTGGACACTGACCTCATGGCTCCCTCGGGCAGGCTCCCACACCCCCGACTCGCCTCCCCGGGCAAGAACCACGAAATCTGTCAAGCCAGCCGGGACCCACCCTCCGCGAACCCCGCTTGCTCCCTCCGAGCCCGGCCCCAGCCTGTCCAACTGCCCCCGGTCCGCTCCGGCCTCGCGGCTGCACTCTGCCACCTCATCCCTCCTTGCCGGTCTCGCGGCCCCGCCACCTCAGCCTCGGCGGCCTGCACTCGGGCCGCCCCACCCCGGCCGCCGCCCCCCGGCCCCGGCCGAGGCTCCCGGCCAGGCTCACGGCGCCGTCGGTCCCTTCGCGGCCCGATCCCCGCCGCCCCCCAGGCCCGAGCTCCCGCCGCGCGCACCCAACCCCCAACCTCCGCCCTCGCCCCGCTCGGCCGCTCCCGGCCCGCTCCCCCTAGCCGGGCTACCTGGAGGCAAGGGCGGCAGAGCACTTCACCCAGGGCCCCAGGTCGCAGAGGGCCCGGTGCTCGGGGTCCCGCTCCTTCTCCCGCTCCACGTGGTAGGCGTAGATGGAGAGCAGGATCCCGGCGGCGCACACTGCATACCGGGCCACCCGCTCCCAACGCGGCACCGACACTCTCAGCAGGACGGGCGCCGCCATCTTCCCCCCTCCGCCGCCGCCGCCGCCTCCTTCGCCGCCGCCGCCGCCTCCCTCCGCCTCCACCTCAGCCGCCGCCGCCCG